GTACCTGTACAAGTGCTGAGTGCCCTACTTCTCCTACAATTCAATATAAATACATCTATAAATAGAATACTGTATAATGTACCTGTACCTGTACCTGTACCTGTATCTGTACCTGTACCTGTACCTGTACCTGTACCTGTACCTGTACCTGTACCTGTATGTAGCTAACCAGTCTGCCACATTATCATCTCCATCTAACCTCAACACTTTCTCAATCAACTTCACTGCATCCATTATCATCGGCCTAAGGGGATTGTTCAACTTTTTGTATAAATACAAATAATTCAAGTTTTTTTATTCCAATTAACAGCAACAACAACAACTACACCACTAACAACAACAAAACCAACATCAACAACAACATCAACACCACTAACAACAACAAAACCAACATCAACAACAACATCAATAACACCAACATCAACAACAACAACAACAACGACAACCCCATTTTTACAAATCAATGATAAGGGAAATTTTAAAAGATGCTAGCATAGAAGAAATTGAGTCTTTGCTTTAACCCTATGTGTCTTGCAAAGATATAAGGATTAAAAAATCAACGTTTGTGGAAAAACCCTTTTTTTATTTTTTTTGTTCAATTTAAGAGTAAAAACATCTTACTTTAACATTGATTTAGGCATCCCAAATTTGTATTTCTCATTCAGACTCTGAAAAAAAGACAAAAAAATTGACTGAAACAAAAAATTTACCGAAACAAAAAATTCTTCTTAACAACTTTATTCAATATCAAAATAAATCAACAATAGTATATCTTATTCGCAGAAACATAGAGACAAAAATTCTCTCATTTTATCTTCGTACCTATTGCTGTAATGAGATGCTTTTCGCAGAGCTCTCCATTGATTAAGGTTTAATCAAAAACTTTATCGAATAATTTTGCAAGCGTAGTTGCATGCAGACTTTTTATCTTTAAATTAAAATTCCGAACTTGAACAACACTGCAATATGTAAGTAAGAATTTTTTTTTGCAAACGTAGTTGCAATTGAATGATTTTTCATCTATATGAATTTAAGAAAAATTAAAGCAAAAAAAAAAAGGATATAAAAACCAGAAAATCCGAAAACCGGAAAACTGGAAAAAGACTTGTCATCTCATATTTAAAAAAAATCAAAAATAAATCCAAAAATATCCAAAGGAGACTTTTCGTCCAGGGTCAGATAGAATTCCTTTATGGGATCAGTAAAATTTTTAAAGAAAAACATCAAAACAAAAAAATTTTAAATTTAAATTGCCACAATTCATAGAAGCAATCATCCAACATTATTTCTGACCTGAAGTGAATATGGAGGGTTTTCAATCTTTCCAGTTTTAAGCCTCTCTCTAAAAATTAAACCAATCGTATAATTACTCACATAGATTCAGCCTGCTTAAAAAAGTCTCATCAATTTTTAAGACAGGGTCTACTTTGAAGTGCCTTGGGCTTTGATTTTATAAATCTAACTCACTTATGCTTTCCTGTAGCCCTTGTTGGTTTTAAGAAGAAATGGCAAAATTCTNAAGATTAAAGACAACGCAAATAAGTAAATTGTTGCATAATCCGAACCAGTACAAGGATTGCCTGGTGTACCCACCCATCTTGCGGACCCAGTAAGTGGTTGACCCAGCGTGTTATAGTAAACAATAAAAATCCCGCTTTTTAATGTCTATGATCATTTAAGAGCGTCGATAACGAGGTGCTTAAATGGTTTGTACCTGAAATTTTCGTTGGTGAAATTTAATTCTAAACAACACGTTTTGCTAATAAATATTCGAAGATGTCTTCTAGTTTGAAGTTACCCTTCTTAAAAGATTTACAATAGTACCTTTCAGAATTTTATCTGATCAATAATTTGGAAGATATCGTCGTTCTTCTAGCTAGAAAAGTGTTCATCCAAACAATTTCATCCATTGTTCATGGAGCGTAAACTCGCAACTTACCTTTATCGAAAAACCACAATTGAAATAAATCAATGTCAAAAAGAAAAACATATAAATATCTCATTCAATTATGATCACACGAAACTTATTTGGGTACCTTTATGAATTGGACATGACCCTGATAACCTGAGTATCTTGAAATTAAATATTCAGTCACTTCAAACATTGTCCTATAGTAATATAATAAAACTTCCAAAAATTCAAAACTGTATTATGTTAAAGTTCGCTTTTTATTAAACTTTTTAATATCTTTATCCTGAAAGAATATGGAAAAACGATCCAAAAACGAGCCAAAAACGAACCAAAAACGATCGTAACAATAAGTTCGTTTTGTATCGGTTTTGGATTGGTTTTTGCATTTATCTTTTGTCAGGGTCAAAACTGTAAGTGTAAGATAAAAGACAAGCAAATGTTAAGCACACTTTGCTCTTTGTACAATATGCTACATTTTCATCCTGAAAGAAAATATAGGCAAACAACGACCCAAATACGAACCAACTGAACAAACAACGACCCAAATACGAACCAACTGAACAAACAACAACCCAAATACTAACCAACTGAACAAACAACGACCCAAATACGAACCAACTGAACAAACAAAGACCCAAATACGAACCAACTGAACAAACAACAACCCAAATACGAACCAACTAAACAAACAACGACCCAAATACGAACCAAATAAACAAATTAAGACCCAAATACGAACCAATTGAACAAACAACGACCCAAATACGAACCAACTGAACAAACAACGACCCAAATACGAACCAACTGAACAAACAACGACCCAAATACGAACCAACTGAACAAACAACGACCCAAATACAAACCAACTGAAAGCCCAGCACTAAACGTAGCTATATGGTTACCCTAAAAGGATAAGACTTTAAGGCGAACTTAATCTTCTTATAAGAGACAATCTGAAACTAGAATTTCCTCATCTACTTGAAAAGTACTTTTGTATACAACAAATAAACAAACAAATTGGTAATACAAAATAGAACCATAAACCCACTGCAGGCACATCACTAATATTGTCCTACCTTAAGTTTATCAAGTAGAAAACAGGGATTATTCTTCTTTGTTAAATTCTCTAGAATAATCATTCCCTGCTCAACATCCTGAATACCTTCTCAACACTTTTACATATAATACAGGGTGCTTCTCAACACTTTTACATATAATACAGGGTGCTTCTCAACACTTTTACATGTAATACAGGGTGCTTCTCAACACTTTTATATATAATACAGGATGCTTCTCAATACTTTTACATATAATACAGGGTGCTTCTCAACACTTTTCATATAATACAGGGTGCTTCTCAACACTTTTATATATAATACATGATGCTTCTCAACACTTTTACATATAATACAGGGTGCTTCTCAACACTTTTCATATAATACAGGGTGCTTCTCAACACTTTTATATATAATACAGGGTGGTTCTCAACACTTTTACATGTAATACAGGGTGGTTCTCAACACTTTTACATATAATACAGGGTGCTTCTCAACACTTTTACTTATAATACAGGGTGCTTCTCAACACTTTTACATATAATACAGGGTGCTCCTTATTACTTTTACATATAATACAGTGTGCTTCTTAACACTTTTACATATAATACAGGGTGCTTCTCAACACTTTTACATATAATACAGGGTGCTTCTCAACACTTTTACATATAATACAGGATGCTTCTCAACTCTTTTACATATAATACAGGGTGCTTCTCAACACTTTTACATATAATACAGGGTGCTTCTCAACACTTTTACATATAATACAGGGTGCTTCTCATCACTTTTACATATAATACAGGATGCTTCTCAACACTTTTACATATAATACGGGATGCTTCTCAACACTTTTACATATAATACAGGATGCTTCTCAACACTTTTACATATAATACAGGGTGCTTCTCAACACTTTTACATATAATACAGGGTGCTTCTCAATAATACAGGGTGCTTCTCAACACTTTAACATATAATACAGGGTGCTTCTCAACACTTTTACATATAATACAGGGTGCTTCTTAAAACTTTCACTTTCTGAACACTTGCATCGTACATGATAAAGAGTGCTTCTTAAAACTTTCACGTACATGATACAGGGTGCTTTTAACACTTTCGCGTACATGATACAGGTTGTTTAATGCAAAATAAAACACTGTTCCTGGTGTTCAAACACGATACAAAATGTTCCATAAAATTTCCTGAATAAAACTTTGTCATCAAAAGGATTGCCTAAAACTTCTTTAAGTATATATATATATATATATACAATTTATGTTAAAATTAAAATTTGGCAAAATACTAAAAATGACAATTATCAAGTTTTAACAAAAATGTTGAAGCAAATAGATTTTATCACTTTTAGAGGCTTAACAAATACTTTTAAAAATTTAAAAATCCATTTTGACATGACAAAATTTCCTTAATTGTTTTTTTACGATGAGCAGAGTAATTTTAACAAAAAAATGGATTTTTCTCTTTTTTAAAATGTTTTGCAATTACATTGTATACCTGACAAGGGCACCAACAAATACAGGGACATTGTTTAACCCAGCAGCCAGGGGAGTAATCCTAGAAGTAACAATTGTAGAAAATAGTTTAGAAAATATTGTTGTGAAAAATAATGGGCGCTAAAAGCGTCCGAGTATTATTTGAATTCACAACGGTACCATTAGAAGCTTTCACTAAACAAGTATTAAATAGATTAGATATATATATATATCAATGTTTATAATTTAGAAAACTGATTATTTATAATTCTATACTGCAGAACAACAATGTATAAATCATCAGAATTAAACCATTTTGAACTTAGAAAACGACAATATCTTCCATAATCCACATTATTGATCGGATAAAAAGACGTCAATCATCTTTGTACGCTTACAGTTCCTTAAGAATAAATCCAGGATCATTTAACATTTATTNATTATAACTGAATTATAAATATTATAAATTTATCAGAGAAGGTTGTTGTTTAATAAAAAAAATTTATTAAATAGATATTAGTCAAGTCAAAAATAAAAAGTCCTTGGGTTCCACAGCCATCAAAATAATGTTACTAGTGCATTCATGTTTGAAAAATTAGGGGGAAAAATTACTTTTTTGAGAGTAAAAATAAATTTTAGGTTTATATAAACCTCACTTCAAACCAATTTTTTTGATATGATTTAAAAACAGGGGTGGCTAGTTTTAACCTTTAAACCGCGCTGAGTATCATAATTCATAAAACGGTTTGGAACTTGGATCCCCTGAACTGTTACCATATAGTTTGTATCTGCGTAGAAGCATGTTGGTGAAATCTCACAAATATTTGGATCAACCTGAATATAAAGTTTGAGTAAAATTGCAAAACTTAATAAAACTTCTTTCATTTAATGATTAAAAAGTCTAATAAGGGTAAAAATAATTCTACTGTAAACTAATTTGTTTTTTTATTTGTTTGTAAATTTATTCGCAGATTTCTTAAAATTTCTTCAAACGTCGTCTTTGCAATTGAATTCAAAGAAATCTACAGAAACAAGATAACTGATTAAAATTACTTATTTTACATGATACTTATATTTTCTCAACCTGTTCCTTTAAACAACGATTTAGATTAAAGAACATTTTTGTTACGTTTTCCGTTCGGTTTATCATGAATAAATGAAAAATAATGTTTCGATCTTCACTTGAAATATGCAAAAATACGTGAAATATGTAAAACGAGTTTACGCTGTTATTCAGTGAGTGAATATACAAATAGTACATCGTAAAAACGTCTGATTGATATCAACTGAATCCTAAATTATTTTCTTTAATATTTTACTCTCAGTTCAAATACTTTACCAAGCCAATCTCTCCCTTTAAAAGTATGATAAAGTAATATGAAGCTTTTAAAAGGAGTAAAAGTGTTAAAGAGACTGTTAGCGTAATTTCAAGTGACCTTTCATTTATAAAGAGTCATGTCCCAACGGTATGTCCGGACAACCTTGGGACAACCAGGGAATAGGAATAAACCCTGATTTGTTTAGCTGAACATTGAGAACTTGGAGACTAGAGGTTACAGTGTAAAGTTACACTGTATGTGCTCTCCGTACTAGTGTACACTCGCGCGGTTTCTTGGCACTTAACTTCCCGCTATATAAATAAGAATATCCAAGAAATCCTTGATAAGCAAAGGTTTAACGAGTATCGTTGTATATCGGACATGCCACTTTATAAATTGAATGTCCATTTCAAAAATAAACTACGAATTTATAAAATGATGATTACAAACCTTGATGAGTTCTTTAACCCAGGTACTGTACCAAAGACTCTCTCTGGCAAAAGGTTTACCAAGTTTACCTAATCAGAAACATTCTAGTTTTCACAAATAAAAACAAGGAAACTAAAACAATATGTCAGGGGTGTATGTTTTCTTGAAAAATCTCTGTACCCCCAACCTCTTTGAAGAAAAGTGTTCCCCCATGGTAATGGATGTTTACGCGGAACGGAACAAATTTTTGAAACAAAATTGTTTATTAAAAAGAAGTAAAAATGATATTTTGATTATGTATTTTGCTAAAGATATTCATTTTAATGATTACTTACCTAACTTTGCAACCAAGGGAATCAAAGAAGGGATCTAAAACACAAATTTTAATTCATATTCTTTTAATAAAACTTAATAATTTTCTTAATATATTTACAAAGATTAGAACTAAGCAAACCTTTAGAATAAGATCATGTGTTTTTTCCTCTCCATTCTTGGTTTTGTAAGTAACCTTAAAAATAAAAATGAAAAAAAATCACATACATTGACAATTAAGAAAAACTTGAATAAATGATGATTAATGATATGTACTTAACATTTGTAAAGCTTATTTTAATAAGAGGAAAAAAAGAATTATTTATAAAATATTCATATTTCAAAAGTAGTAATAATATTTTGCTTCAAATAAAAATGTATACATTATACTAGAGGGGACAATTACTATTTAAAACTTTGGCAGTAAAGATTATTGGCATAGTATACAGTATAAGATAAACTAAATATATGTGGAATAGGAAAATGACATTCAAGAATAATATCTATGTAGTATAGACACACCTGAGCTGCATATTTCATGTTTAATAAACCATTTATAAAATCAAAGCTTGAATCCTTGTAGCAAAAATCATGGAAACATGATATTCTGTAAAACTGTAGTACGTTGTACATATTAATGATTTGATGTTGTAAACTTAGACATAATGACATTTTCAATTGAATATTTAACATAATTATCTTAAATCATGCGACATGCTTAAATTACGCTATAAAACATGTGCCAAGATAGATTAACTGTGTTATATCTATTCTCTCTAATCCTATAAATATGTATATTAAACTTTAACTTTGCTATAAATACGTAATATGATGTAATCATGTGATAATGATATCATTGTAGGAATTGTAACTACGTCAATTCCTGTTAAGTTTGTGACATAAGATATTAAATAAAGTTAGTTGATTGAGACTCTGCTTCGATTACAGTATCAGAAGTAATTTGGTTCATACCTTGAGTATTGGTATTGATCCATTGATTGCTGGTGTCTGTAATGACATCGATAGCTAACAATATCGCGCTCTGTATAGTGGCGTTGATTATTAACGGGATTGTAGCCGTGTGGATCGTGCCCTGGTTGAGACATTGATCAATTGATTGCTAGTGTCTGTATTGACATCGATAGCGAACAAGATCGCGCCTTGTGTAATGGCGTTGATTAGTCAAGGGATTGTAGCCATGTGGATTGTGTCCTGAGGAGACAATTGATCAATTGATTGCTAGTGTCTGTAATTTGGTTTCGTAGAAACTTAAGAGTGTAGATCATACCTTGAGTATTGGTATTGATCCATTGATTGCTAGTGTCTGTATTTTGGTTCTTGTTGAAACATACGAGTGTAGATCATACCTTAAGTATTGGTATTGATCTATTGATTGCTAGTGTCTGTATTGACATCGATAGCTAACAAGATCGCGCCTTGTGTAACGGCGTTGATTAGTCAAGGGATTGTAACCGTGTGGATTGTGTCCTAAGGAGACATTGATCAATTGATTGCTAGTGTCTGTAATTTGGTTCTCGTTGAAACTTACGAGATCATACCTTGAGTATTGGTATTGATCTATTGATTGCTAGTGTCTGTATTGACATCGATAGCTAACAATATCGCACACTGTACAGTGGCGTTGATTAGTCATGGGATTGTAGCTCTGTGGATCGTGTTCTGGTGGAGACATTGATCAAATTTGATCATCCCTATCATTTGGGATTGATATATATATAAAGTTTGTTAATAGCTACACTTAAGTCCCTGTGTGGTATTTAGAGCCTGGGATTCTGTCCTGGTAGAACACTGTATTAGCAGCTGGATTTTGATAGCTAAGCTTGTGTCCCTGTGTGGCATTTAGAGCCTGGGATTCTGTCCTGGTAGAACACTGTATTAGCAGCTGGATTTTGATAGCTATACTTTTGTCCCTGTGTGGCATTTAGAGCCTGGGATTCCGTCCTGGTAGAACACTGTATTAGCAGCTGGATTTTGATAGCTATGCTTGTGTCCCTGTGTGGCATTTAGAGCCTGGGTCCTGGTTAAGTTTGATAGCGGACGGATTGTACCTGGATTGATGCCTTTCGAGACCTTATTATGGAGTCGGTGTTTACTACATCCAACAGTTATCAGCTTCCTATTCCACAAGTTTATGGGTTTCACTGTATAAACCTGAGTTTGAAACATTGAACTGTTGAAGTTATCATTATTTGCTCTTCCTTCTCTTTCCTGGATATTTTCTACTTCAAGTTCTTTAATCTCACATCCCTCATAGGCCTGTAGGAAACACATATCAACTGAGACACAACTTGGAGGTTTTAATGGGTGAGGGGTTTAGCATTCTTTATTCATTACGAAAATGTAATCTTTGCCAACATTTGAACATTATGAACATTTTTTTAATCTCTTTTCTTTTTGTGGCCCCCCTCCCCTTTTAGCCCCACCAAATCAGTAACATTGTGCAGTATGCTGCATTGAAGGCATCATGTGTTACGGCTTAAAGAAACTATGAACATTTGCATCAAACTCTAGTTTTCCTATGCTTATATCTTTGCAATCGGATGTCGACTTTTGATATTGAAAATTAAAACTGTAATTAGTCAGTTAATTTACACTTTCCCCGACATCACTTTAAACCCCCATAGTTCACAATGTATTTGACAAGTTAAAAATCACCTTAAATTAAATCTTACAGTGAAACCCTCAATAACGAATACATCGGAAGAATTTATCAAATGTCGTCTTGACAATTTTTCGATGAGTTTTATACTATATTACGTAAATTTCAGTATTTGCGAAATTCTCACGAAGTGTGACATTTGGTGAATATTTTAAAATGCAGGGTGTCTCACGAAGTGTGACATTTGGTGAATAGTTTAAAATACAGGATGTCTCATGATGTGTGACATTTGGTGAATAGTTTAAAATGCAGGATGTCTCATGATGTGTGACATTTGGTGAATAGTTTAAAATACAGGATGTCTCATGATGTGTGACATTTGGTGAATATTTTAAAATGCAGGGTGTCTCACGAAGTGTGACATTTGGTGAATAGTTTAAAATACAGGATGTCTCATGAAGTGTGACATTTGGTGAATAGTTTAAAATGCAGGATGTCTCACGAAGTGTGACATTTGGTGAATAGTTTAAAATACAGGATGTCTCATGAAGTGTGACATTTGGTGAATAGTTTAAAATGCAGGATGTCTCACGAAGTGTGACATTTGGTGAATATTTTAAAATGCAGGGTGTCTCACGAAGTGTGACATTTGGTAAATAGTTTAAAATACAGGATGTCTCATGATGTGTGACATTTGGTGAAAAGTTTAAAATGTCTTCTTCCATAAATTGTTAAGTTGTTTAATACCAAAGAGAATAATAGAACATATTAATGGCAGTCATGTTATAGTAAAATTAATTATAAAGTAAAAAGTATTTGAGTAAAAGATTTTTTTTTCAACAAAATAAACTTTAAACTAGTCAACAACTGTCATGTTTGTTTTTACTTAAAAAAATGTCAAAATGACTGAGCCAATTAGGAAAAAATTTTTGTATGGAACCCTCACATGACCCCAGGGAAGTTTATGCCTGATCGAAATTTATTAAAATTGCCTCTATAATTTTCTTTCATTGGGTCAAAGAAAACACAAAAATATACAAAAATTTTAGTTTTCTGATGGACAAAGAATAAATGGTGGCATGACCTATCATTATCCACATTTAAAAGCTATCTTTAATCTGAAGAAAGAGGGGCGAAAGTCTCAAAAAACTTGTTTTCATAAACCGACCGTTTTTCAAACTAAAGTTAGTTTTTGTGATTAAGAAATATAAACAAAGAAACTGAACTCTCTATAATAAGAAGACGACGTCAAGTTTTAACTTTAAATAGTTCATTGAGCATGAGACACAGCTATAGTGCATTGTAAACAGGCCTATTTCACTTAATTAGTGATTTAATAAGTTCTTCTAAAACTATTTGGTTTGCAACAACATCAAATACACTTAAGTATTAGTATAAAGTCGTCTTTCTATTAAAGAGTTTTCTGGTTATCACTGTATAAATCTTTGCAACCTGATGGTGCATACTCTTGATATTAAAAACTTTAGCTTATAGATCAAGTTTGACATTTCTAAAGGTCATGTGACATCAGTTTTCAAAGATATATGGACAAAAAATTTGAGTTGGACACAAGTGTTCAGTTATTTTTGTCAGTTTTTATGTTCCTTATATATATGTGATCGTATTTAAAACCAAGAATCTCTGGAAAATACATCAAACTAAAGTAACAAATATAACACAATAAAATACAAAATCTACGCAAACATTTTTTTTTTCATGGAATTCTTTGATTAAATCTCTCGAAAACTTCACACACTTTTGCTTTCGTTAGTCAAAAGGGTTTTTAAATGCAGCTGATCTGCTAATATCAGTTAGATACAGGGGTACTCACTGAGGATGAGACTTTAAATGCAGCTGATCTAATAATATCAGTTAGATACAGGGGTACTCACTGAGTATGAGACTTTAAATGCAGCTGATCTAATAATATCAGTTAGATACAGGGTTACTCACTGAGTATGAGACTTTAAATGCAGCTGATCTAATAATATCAGTTAGATACAGGGGTACCCACTGAGGATGAGACTTTAAATGCAGCTGATCTAATAATATCAGTTAGATACAGGCCGGTACTCACTGAGTATGAGACTTTAAATGCAGCTAATCTGCTAATATTAGTTAGATACAGGGGTACTCACTGAGGATGAGACTTTAGAGAGTCTGTACGAAACTTATATCTGTCTGTTTCGATTTACGATGCCCTTCATTATAATGTTTTTACTTTATTTGCCCAATCAATGAAACAGCCATTAAAAGACTATATTCAAGACAGACGACTTAATCGTCATATTTAAAGAGTTTCTGGTCGTCTTTACTGTCTCATTCTTTGCGGGTAACCCTGTATGCAGATAACGAAAAAGAGAGTCTTTGACTGATAATAGTGAAGGACTGAAGAGAGAGATATCTATTCTGTACTACCTCTATCGTTCTATCTCGCCTAAGGAAGGGAGGGAGAGAGCATATTTCAAGGTTCCTGTATATACAAATCAACAAGCATAAATAATATGCAATGTGCACTGTGACTTGTGAGTGAGTACTGTGTAGTGTGTACACGAAACTACCGGCTATGGGCAGAGTAATGCAATTCGATAATAAACTCTAGTATAGGGGGATAGGGTATTTTTAGGTGTTGGGTATTTTCCCAAGAACGTCTTCCAGAGTTGCACCTTCCAAATTATGCAATTTACCTAGCGGCAAGTTCACCAAGATTAGGTAAGGCCCTCTGAGGCGCTGCAATAGGGGCCGAACACTGCGACTTGGACAGACTAAGGAAGTTACTGCTTGAGAAAATTACATATTTGGAAAAATACCCTTGGCAAGTTGCTGCTAAAGAAGGCCTTGAAGGAAGTACCTTAAACATTCTTTTATTTATTTGTTGCCAAGTACTAAGATTCTGGGTTTCTTGTACAGGGTGTCCCAAAAACATGGGAATTCAGTGACGAATTCGATATCGTCTTTGTTACGAACTAGCATTGTATTTGTAATACCTAATTTCAAAATATGCCATAATATTATTATGTCTGCTAGAGTTTATTTAATGAAAAGGGTGAAAGACTGCAAAGATGTGTCTATAATGTCTCCGCAAGATGAACAGTGAATACGGACAAGTTTACTCTGTTTATATACTGTAATTTTCTTGTTTTACTAAGTACAACCGGTTGCAGTCAAAACATAAACAAACAAAATGTAAACATAGCAGACGAAACTCTTAAAGATTACAGCTTTCTCAGTAGGTATCACTATGCTAAATCAAAGAATTATTTGAAAAGACGATATCGAATTCGTCACTGAATTCCCATGTTTTTTGGGACACCCTGTATAATTCAAAGTCATAAAAAGTGTTTCCACAAGCTAGTAATAGTATCCGACCAGAAAGTTCTCTGGATATTTATTATGAAAAAAGATCCTATGATATGCACACAAAGTCCTGTGAAAAAAGTTCATTGAGGGAGTGTTCGCGAAAAATGAAAGGGGGTATAGGGCCGCTTACGGCAAGAAATGATCGTTTTTGATGGATACTAATCATAAAAATTGATAAAAACGACTTATTTAGTAGCGTCCATACAAATTCAGAAAGTTGTAAGATACGACGATCGTATTGTAAAATAATCAATTTAATTTCAAACAAATCATTCAGATATTGCAACATTCAATTATGTTTTCGACGCATTTATTTATAGTTAATATTTCATAATATTTTTTATTTGTTTTGTATACAATGCACTTAAAATGACTTTTTTCCGCTTACAGGTGTCTGCTACGTGTAATCATTCAAAGCATCGAGAGGAGAGACATCTGGCGTCCAACTATTTTGGCGTTTTATGCATTGTATACAAAACGAATATTAAATATTAACTGTATACGAATGCGTCGAAAAATAATCGATGTTTATAGGTTGCAATATCTGAATGATTTGTTTGAAATTATAAGTTGTTTCGATGTAAGCCTATATCCCCTTTCATTTTTCGCGAACACTCCCTTTATATTGAAAGTCCTGTCATTTTTTCGACTTTATTTTAAGATTTTTTTCTTTTTCCAAAATCATGCTTACGAAATAATCCCGCATGGAAGAAAGACGATGTAGAAGTCGTCATTTAATTCCATGTTTGTTGGGACACCCTGTATTTCCAGGCCCAGTTAAAAAAAGAAATTTCTCTCATATTTTGTAGATTCTCTGAACTCTGTTAGAATTAACACTTTACAGTGGACTACTGACCAAACTATAGTATTAAACTGGCAGTAACAACTCTCATGCTTTTCTCACAATGAAATATAATTTCATCATTCCAAATGTAGCTAAATGAAAAATAAAGATTAGTGATTTTTTTCTTTAAATCTCAATAATTAGTTCATAACGAAAAAACGAAAAAGGCGATGATTCAGATTTTACAGAAAAAAATTGCTGAACAATTTAATTATCAAAATTCAAAAATGTAGGCAAAACTTAAATTGTCCAGTATTTCTGACATTTTTTCTAAAAACGGCGTGACTTTAGGGATCCTCTTAAATACCCCACAGTCCCCACCATCAAACATTAAGCAAAATTTACAGGATATGGTTTAAAAAAATTATTCATTCTCATATTATTTATTATGAGTGTAAAGAGAAACGTTAAAACTACAAAAACAACATAATTATAATTAGTCATTCATTATCTAACATCCTTCTTCTGCAACTAAAATAGAAATAAAAAACCTATAGAACACTATAATATATTTACAAAATGAGACATCATTGTAACTTAGAAGAATATAAGTCACGAGCATATCTCAGTTCTTGTTTAGGCTTGATAATGTTGAGACTGATTCCAAGGCACAACTCTAAGTTGCAATTCTAAGTCACAATTTGCTTGCTATATGGCATTTTATTCCTATATTGCCAAAACTTTACTTTACTCAGGTTTTACTCAAAATCATCAAAAATAATTTATGACCAAAATTGAAGGATTTCTTTCATCTTGTTTTACAGCTGATAAGATAAAAAGCACAGGGAAAAGCAATGCTACATAATTCTTAGCTCAGTCAGTCTCGCCAGTCTATAGTTAGTCTAGAATGTTAATATTTTCTCCTAAAGTCAGACATCAAATTTAATTACTTGTTGCTTTTAACACTTTCAAATGTTGTTTTTGATGCTTTCAAATTACGCTTTTCATGCTTTACTACACGATCAAAATTGTTGAAATTGAGAGACATGAATACAAAAAAAGGCAGCGAGTCAAATGTTAACAAAGCGTTATGTTAATTTCATCCTAATATTACTGTCAGCAGACTAAATCTCTAATTCAGTCATTTTATACAGACTCTGAAAATTGAAACAATCTTTAATTTCTGTTAAAAATTTATTTAAGATAAATAAAATACATTTGGTAAAAACTACATTAAATGGAATGATTTGTATTAAAAGAAAAACATAAAAACACATGACAACATTTTTATTATTTGGAAGATTTTAAACATTAGGAACATTGGAAGACGACATTAAAAATATAACTCACTGGAAAAAGTAATCGATAGAACTTCTAAAATAGAAAATAAAATAATAAAAACTAACATTTCTAAAATAAACATTTTCAAATTTTAACTATGAGGAAGACATTAAAATTAATTACGGTACTCAGTATAAAAATATTCCAATATCTTTCTGCGGATTTTTACAAACAAGTTGAGCATTCTAGATAATACTATAATCTTCATTGCGCAATGCGCACATTCCACGTCTTAAAGCGCTTCCACACACATTGCAATCCCCATTCCACCGCCGATACAAAGCGCTGCGCATCCTTTTTTAGCGCCGCGCTTCTTAAGCGCATGAACAAGTGTGACAAGTATGCGAGCACCTGAAGCTCCGATCGGATGACCGAGCGCAATAGAACCTCCATTAACGTTCACCTAAACAAAATATATATCAGGTATTAAGAGTGAACAGTAAAGCTAGGATCCAATCATTGAAAGGTTCCCAGCTGCTTTACATTATTTCTTTCTTTGCCAAATTTTAATAAGTTTAAAATTTAAAGACAATATTTGTAAGGAAGAACCCTTCAGCTTAATTAATTTTAAGATTACTAGCCTTAGAGGGCGCTTCGCGCCCATCTTCTAAATTAATTATGAACATGTTCTCTATGTGTACATCGTAAAACAAAACAAAAATAATTCGCGGATTTTCACAAAAAATTTCGTGGATTTTCAAAATTTTCTAAAATTTAATGGAGATCAAATTTTGATGGAGACAAATATTTGAAATTTTGATCATTCATAAACCTTCCCTGGGGTCCCTAGATGTCCCACAAAAAATTTGGGCCCGATCGGTTCAGCCGTTTTTCAAACAGACAGACAAGCCAAATTTATATATAGAATTAGGTCGTCATTAAAATTTCATCCGTTGTGGATAACCCTTTAATTCTTTATATAAGAGAAACATATTAAGCAGTAATTTTGGACTAGCCTGGGAACCCAGCTTTGCCAAGGAACTGAACTTACTCTGTATCATAGCCAACTCACACAAATTTTTAAACCAAGCTTAGAACATTTCCGTAGTTCTACCAAGTTCCCCAATACAAGTTTTAGGTACAGGGTGTCCCAATAAACATGGGAATTTAGTGACGAATTGGATATCGTCTTTTCAAATAATTCTTTGATTTATTATAGTGATACCTACTGAGAAAGCTGTAATCTGTAAGAGTTTCGTCTGCTTTGTTGACATTTTGTTTGTTTATGTTTTGAATGCATATAAGGGTGTACTTTGTTAAACAAGAAAATTGCAGTATACAAACAGAGTAAACTTGTCCGTCTTCACTGTTCATCTTGCGGAGACATAATAGACACATCTTTACAGTCTTTTACCCTTTTCATAAAATAAACTCTAACAGACATAATAATATTATGGCTTTTGAAATTAGATATTACAATGCTAATTCATAACAAAGACGATATCCGATTCGTCACTGAATTCCCATGTTTTTTTGGGACACCCTGCATATCAGTCCAGGGGTTCATGAACTTTAATTGAACATAAAAAAAGAGATTACTACTTTATATATTTGAATAAGTTACCTTGTCCTCTTGAACTCCCAGCTCCCTCTGAACAGCAAGCGCCTGGGCGGCAAATGCCTCGTTTAGTTCAAATAGATCTACATCTTCAATATTCCAGTGCGCCTTAGCCAAAGCGCTTCTTACTGCTGGCACAGGCCCTAGTTTGTGTAAATATGATTTAATAATAAAAAGATATATAATAATATTAATGGGGGAATAGGATTTCTGTACATTTTGCTATTAAAAGGGACTGAAAGCGTAATATCAAGTAAGATAAAAAACGATCTTTTCTAACACATTATTAATCAGATAAAGGTTTCAAGGGAACCGTTGTGAATCGGGCATTGTTATCTTTGCATGTAGGGTTGGGCGTTGGCATAAAAAAATCAGCAAAAAAAAAACACACAAAATAACCAATAAAACCATTTGTAAGTGGACTTTTATGGGTTGTATTGTTTTTTTTTTTGAATTTTTCTAATCATTGCCTTTCCCTCATCTTATATTGATAAAACTCATCAAAAAAATAAGGTCTACTATTAACTGTATTGATTTTTAGGACAAATTTATTCTTTTCTAAAGAGTTTAAAAATATCTTGCGATAGAATAAGGATATGAAATCCCTTTATCATTTTATGTGTGAGTGATCCGAAGATTTTCGGTATTTACAGTGGTCTTCCTTCCTAAACAGATAAATATCTACCGAAATATGTTTCTAAGTGAGAAAATAGAAGTAGTCTGAAATTAATAGAACTAAAAACTAAATTTCAGTACTCTCCTGATCAAGAATGGAGGTGATATTATTGTATTTGAAGAGTATTTTTATATGACTAGCTGAAGTGCCCGGTATTGTCAGTGGAATTTATAAAAAAAATATTCTAAATTCGATTTTTTTTTAGCCTGAGTGTCTACAAAAAAATTAAGCCCATTCGGTTCAGCCGTTTGGCCAGTCAGAACATTATATATGAATGTCTTGTTTTATTTTATAGATTATTAATTATATAGCCTATTATTACAGCAATATTATTATTTTTCATATAAAGTTCACTTATTACTTAAATAGCACGAATTTTAGTAGCTTTCAACTACTTTCAAGTTGAAAAACCCATAAAGCCCCAAAAAACCCAATAAAACCCACTTCGCTGTTTTTTTAAACCCGGGTTTATTCCAACCCTGGAAGGGTCACTTGAAATTATGCTTACAGTGCCTTAAATGTAGATATCCATCAACAGATTTCTATTATTATTGTTATTTTAATAAAACCAGTTCATAGCAGTCCTAATAAGTAGCACAACAGGAGTGTACACTGTACATTCCCCTCTCCTCCCAGAAGTTAGAGATGTTATGAAGTTAAAAAAAGGGGTTTTTTCCCCTGTTGCGGGAAAAATAAATGATTTTTATTGGGAAATAACAAGATTTTGGGGGAAAAGTAACAACTAGGATAAAAAACTTGGCAATTTATTTTCAATTTATCTTTTCTCTCACAAAAGTAGTGTAATTCTTAAACACTGCCGATTTTTTTACCTGTTCCCATTAGCGCTGGTTCCACACCAGCTGTTGCGGACGAAACTATTCTACAAAATGGCGTCAAACCACGTGCACTGGCATCAGCTGATGACATTAACAGTACAACAGCAGCACCGTCGTTAATCCCTGCAGTTAATTGCAAATTTGATTAATTGAAGACGATACCATTGTTAAATTATGACAGCTCATTTTATAAAAGAAATCACAAGTAAAAAACCAATGATATCTAGATAAAAGGGAATATCTCATCTATCATTGATCAAACAAAGGGTTAAAGGGTTCCCTTGTAAATCGAATTTGTCACTCTATTAATGGAGGGTCACATAAGTCCTTTAAGTAGTGGAATATTTAATGCAAATATATTTAAGATTAGAAAGATGTGACTTAATATTCTTCAGAGAAATTTCATGGATAACCTAAAAACTCTTTTGAGACATTTAAAAATGTATAGGAAGTATAATGTTTGATGAAATGTATGAATGTTCTACCTGAAGCGTTCCCAGCGGTTACTGTGCCCGAGGCGTCCTTGATAAAGGCTGGACGAAGCTTTGATAAACTCTCAACAGATGTCTCAGGACGGGGAAATTCATCTTCACTGAAACGAGCATTTTTTATCTCCAATTTCACAACAAAAATTTTTTAACTACAGTAACATTTTTATGATAATTTTGATGCCTAATATAATTAAAAATTATTAGTATTCTAAAATGTGGTGCATTGTTGTAGGAATTTAATGTTTAGTGTCAATTACTTAATTAATTAATTATTTAAAAAGTAAATGATGGGTCAAAACAAGATAAGGAATAAAAAATATTTGAAATATAATACGAACTAACCTAACGATAGTTGGACCCTTCCTGCCTGGAACAGAAACTGGAACAATCTCTTCCTTAAATGTTCCAGCAGCTATGGCTTGACCGGCCTTTTCTTGGGACTTGGCGGCCAACTCATCCTGCTCAGCCCTGAACATTCACTACTCAGTCAACCAATCAGAGTTTTAGGGACTTCCTACTAGCCCCATATAATGCCCAAGCTGATCTTACAAAATCAGGAAAGAGATATGTATGGACTTGTAGCTTTGTGATAGGTAAATACAAAGTACAAGGAAATTGCGTTTAATTTAAGTTGCTATTTTCATAGTGTTTTTTTTATATTTTTAGCTGAGACCTATCACAATGAGACACCCGACATTCTGCCAGATCGATAGGCATAACTTCTAACCATTATAATCACATTCAACTAGTTCAAGATTCAATGACCCTGTCGTTGCAATTCATAACGGTACCCTTTAAAACCTTTATCTGATCAATCATGTGATCGATTTTGTCGTTTTACTAACTTAAAGGGAGTGTTCGCGAAAAATGAAAGGGGGTATAGGCTGATGACGAATTTAATCGATATTATGACATACAATTGTCGAATTCAGTTTGATGTATTCGTATATAGTTGATTTTCATATTTTTTTTATTTTTTATGATCGAGAGTTACTTCAGAAAACATTCATTTCTGTTTCGAGGATTTTTAAAAACAAGGACGAAAATCCAGCCGCAGTCGTGAAAACAAGTTGTAAGCGAAATAGTAATACATTTTTTTTAATATTATGAAACATCAACTTTAGACGAATGCATCGAATTGCATTTGACAATTGTATGTTGTAATGAATAAATGAGTAGTTTTAAATACAATTAAATTATTTACGATCTGAGTGAAATAATGCAACAACGTGAATGTAAATGGACGCTACGTTCTTGAGTGTTCGACGTTTTAAACGTTTTCTCCTCAAGGACGCAACATATAGAAGAAAAGTTGGTAGAGATCAAGATCGAATTACCCCATTTTATTTTTGGCGAAAATGCCATTTAAAGTGAATTCCAAAAATGTCATCAACTTTTTCTCTGGAAAGAAATCCACAAGTAATTTTTACAGAAAACAACAAACTTTTCAGAGAGAAATCATGGATATAGATATCTCATTCATTATAGACCAGTTGCAAATAGGACATGCCTCTCTTGATATGAAATCATAATATTCATTAATACCAAATATGTTACCAACCTTGTGATACCAAATATGACCTTGTGATACCAAATATGTTACCAACCTTGTGATACAAAATATGTTACCAACCTTGTGATACCAAATATGTTACTAATCTTGTGATACCGAATTTGCTTGCCAACCTTGTGATACCAAATATGTTACCAACCTCTTGTGATACCGAATTTGCTTGCCAACCTTGTGATACCAAATATGTTACCAACCTTGTGATACCAAATATGTTACCAATCTTGTGATACCAAATATGTTACAAACCTTGTGATACCAAATATGTTACCAACCTTGTGATACCAAATATGTTACCAACCTTGTGATACCAAATATGTTACCAACCTTGTGATACCAAATATGTTACAAACCTTGTGATACCAAATATGTTACCAACCTTGTGATACCAAATATGTTACCAACCTTGTGATACCGAATTTGCTTGCCACATTCTCTGCAGTAATGCCCATGTGGTAAAGGTGGAAGGCATCGGTTAATCCATCCTACAAATAAAAATAAAAAATAAAATTAAGTATTTCTATCATTTACTTTTTGCGAAACAATTTCATTATTTAATAATATACTAGATGAAATATATAAAATACTAAGAGAAAAATAAGATCTGCTACAGGCTGACTTAATAGTTTATGGCTGTTTTAGGAGGGGTTCCCGTAAATTAAATTGATATCCAAACTTTCCATTGAAGCCAACCCACCTTGAGTTAATAAATCTCCAAATCTTTCCAAGTATCCAGGCCACCCTGAGTAAATATTTAAATATATCTCCAAACCTTCCCTAGTATCCAACCCACTCTAAGAAAATATATCTCCAAACCTTCCCTAGTATCCAACCCACTCTAAGATAATATATCTCCAAACCTTTCCTAGTATCCAATTCCAAACCACCCTGAATAAATAAATCTTCAAACCTTCCCTAGTATCCAACCCATCCTGAGTAAATAAAAAAATATATCTCCAAATATTCCCTAGTATACAAACCACCCTGACTAAATACATCTTCGAACCTTCCCTAGTATCCAACCTACCTTGAGTAAATATATCTTCAAACCTTTCCCAGTATCTAACCTACCTTGAGTAAAGTATCCTCCATTGAAACATCTCCGAACTTGACTCCGGGTCTAGCATGAATACAGTGCCGACTACAGCTCATGGACTCCATCCCTCCGGCAAATACGATCTTGTTGTCTCCGGTCTGGATACTCTAAACAAAAGTAAATTTGTTGATTAAAAACCATGTCAAACTTGCCATTAAATTATGTTCTTTCCTTTACTGCTTCCCTTGCCTCCACCTACAGTTATAGCCAGAAAACTCCAAAATAGGAAGACATCTTTGTAGCAATACTTGAGTGTTTTTGATGTTGTTAGAAAGCAAATAGTTTTACTAGAAACGTATTAAATCACAAATCAAGTAAAATGGGTCTGTTACAACTGAACAATTTCTGTTTCCCAGGCTTATTGGACTATCTAATGTCATAATTTAAGTTTGAAAGTCATCTTTCTACTCCAGAGTTTTATGGTTTCACTGTATAAACAACAGTTGAAAAAATGTTCTTTTCACTTTTCACATATGAATATATTTTTAGATATCAATATATTTCCCATATGAATATATTTCCAAAAATGCAATTTTATTGGTCAACTTATTTACTTCAGCGCATTTAAAGAAAAACTATATATCTGTCCGTCTACGATTTTATAAGCTTTGACTCGAGCCGTAATTCCTTAGACCCAGGTTTAAGGCTCAATCTTAGACCCAACTTGTGATTCAGTTGACGAAAGCGTGTGTCATGTGAACGAGAGCTGCCAGTTCTTAGGCTCGACTTAAAAAATTATTCCTATAAAAATAAAACTGCCCTTGGTTGGCTATAGTGGAGAATTAGTGTACATGTTGAGTCTTATTCTAATTGAATCCGCCACGTCAAACCATGAAAATCCGCCAAATACAATATTAAACCGATTTAAAAAACCCAAATCTGTGGAAAATTTAGTTGCAACTTAAATTCGAAAGCTTTCTTCCCAAATTTTTTATTCGCGGGCTCTGGATAAACATCCTCCCAAGTCCCAACTCCGTCTTCCAAAATAAAATAAAAAATGAGCTATAATAAATCACCTGGGCTGCCAACGCCACAGCTCGGAGTCCTGACCCACAGACCATGTTGACCCCCATAGCTGGCACAGTGTCAGGTAAACCAGCATTCCTACTAGCCTAAATCAATTAGTCTACAAATATTAAATATATATAAAAATTTAACGTTTCGTCAATTAATCGATTGATCTATTTATCAATTCATCAATTCATCAATCCATCAATTCATCAATCCATCAATTCATCAATCCATCAATTAATCAATCCATCAATTAATCAATCCATCAATTAATCAATCCATCAATTAATCAATCCATCAATTAATCAATCCAAAAATTAATCAATCCATCAATTAATCAATCCATCAATTAATAAACCCATCAATTAATCAATCCATCAATTAATCAACCCATTAATCAATCCATCAATTAATCAATCCATCAATTAATCAATCCATCAATTAATCAATCCATCAATTAATCAATCCATCAATTAATCAATTCATCAATTAATCAACCCATCAATTAATCAACCCATCAATTAATCAATCATTGAATTAATAAATCCATCAATTAATCAATCCATCAATTAATCAATCCATCAATTAATCAATCCATCAATCAATCAAGATAATAAAAAATATTACATATGTATTACGCGTATAATTAATTAGTAAATTCATAAACATATTTCAAACCTGTCTTGCTGGATTCTGTCCTTGACCTGCCGCTAGAACTTGACCTAGGATGACCTCTGACACATCATTTAATGGTACACCGGTAACATCAAGCAAATCTCTGAGAAAAGTTTAAATGAATCGGCAACATAAATAAAATTCAGGTCACATCATTTAAGTGAATGTCAACCTTCAGAGCCAAAACTATTTCATTAATTTTCAATTTACAAATAATCATTTCGTCTGAGGCAAGTTTTTAAACTAATGAAAAAAGTGTGGCTTAGCAGAAAAAATGCTTTTATTAATATTTAAATTTTTTTTATCATCAATGTAAGAAATGTTAAGATTAGTTATTGTTTGATTAATGTTCATACTGGATCAGAGCAGATGCAAGGTTAGGTTAGGTGATTGATAGATTGACGTTCATTTTTGATCAGAGAAGATTTAAGAATTAGAATAAGATTAGTGATTGATTGCTTAGTATTTCTACTTGATCATAGCAGATACAAGGACTCGAATAGGATTAGTGATTGATTAACTGATTAGTATTTCTACATGATCAGAGCAGATAAAAGAACTAGAATAGGATTAGTGATTGATTGATTAGTATTCCAATTTGATCAGAGCAGATATAAGGACTAGAATAGGATTATTGATTGATTGATTAGTATTCCAATTTGATCAGAGCAGACATAAGAACTAGAATAGGATTAGTAACTGATTGATTAGTATTTATACTTGATCAGAGCAGATATAAGAACTAGAATAGGATTAGTGATTGATTGATTAGTATTCAAATTTGATCAGAGCAGACATAAGAACTAGAATAGGATTAGTAACTGATTGATTAGTATCTATACTTGATCAGAGCAGATATAAGGACAAGAATAGTATTAGTGATTGATTGATTAGTATTCCTACTTGATCTGAGCTGAAAACTTTAGAATGGTGGATATCGGGATTAATGCTTAATCCACTCTTTTTCTTAATCTCGAGATTAAATATTGCTTGTTCTCCTCTCATTTTTAATCTCCAGATTAATTATCCGATCAGGATTAAGGATATCCCATTCTAAAGTTTTCAGCTCAGAGCAGATATAAGAACTAGAATAGGAATAGTGATTAATTGACTATTATTCATACTTGATCAGAGCAGGTATAAGAACTAGAATATGATTAGTGATTGATTGATTAGTATTCCTACTTCATCCGAGCAGGTATAAGAACTAGAATAGGATTAGTGATTGATTGATTATTATTTCTACATGATCAGAGCAGACATAAGAACTAGAATAGGATTAGTGATTGATTGGTTAGTATTCCAATTTGATCAGAGCAGATATAAGGACTAGAATAGGACTAGTGATTGATTGATTAGTATTTCTACATGATCAGAGCAGATATAAACACTAGAATAGGATTAGTGATTGATTGATTAGTATTCCTACTTGATCCGAGCAGATATAAACACTAGAATATGATTAGTAATTTATTGATTTATTAGTTTTCATACTTGATCAGAGCAGATGCAAGGTCATGCGCAGGAACAGTTGCCAATCCACCATTAAAGTTTCCTAAATATATGTTGGTGTAAAATTCACCAGTTTTTAACATTTTTTTCTTTCCACAAAATTGGTCCCCAATTTAAAGTCACTATAATTTCAAGTAATCCATTAAAAAAAATGTCATGACCGATTTAAAACGTTAAATTTTTATATGAACAACAGTAAGAATATGTTGTATATTTATTATCCGTATTAGTAATGAATTATATGAACAACAGTAAGGATATGTTGTATATTTATTATCCGTATTAGTAATGAATTATATGAACAACAGTATGGATAGGTCGTATATTTATTATCCGTATTAGTAATGAATTATATGAACATCAGTTATATTTATTATCCGTATTAGTAATGAATTATATGAACATCAGTATGGATATGTCGAATATTTATTATCCGTATTAGTAATGAATTATATGAACAACAGTATGGATATGTCGTATATTTATTATCCGTATTAGTAATGAATTATATAAATAACAGTAAAAATGTGTCGTATATTTATTATCCGTATTAGTAATGAATTATATGGGCAACAGTATGGCTATGTCGTTTATTTATTATCCGTATTAGTAATGAATTATATGAACAACAGTATGGATATGTCGTATATTTATTATCCGTATTAGTAATGAATTATATGAACAGTAAGGATATGTCGTATATTTATTATCTGTATTAGTAATGAATTATATGAATAACAGTAGGGATATGTGGTACATTTATTATCCTTATTAATAATGAATTATATGAATAACAGTAACGATGTGTCGTATATTTATTATCCATATTAGTAAAAAATTATGTGAACAGTAAGGATATGTCGTTTATTTATTATCCATATTAGTAATGAATTATATGAACAACAGCAAGGATATGTCGTATATTTATTATCCGTATTAGTAATGAATTATATGAATAACAGTAACGATGTGTCGTATATTTATTATCCATATCAGTAAAGAATTATGTGAACAACAGTAAGGATATGTCGTTTATTTATTATCCATATTAGTAATGAATTATATGAACAACAGCAAGGATATGTCGTATATTTATTATCCGTATTAGTAATGAATTATGGGAACAACAGTAAGGATATGTCGTTTATTTATTATCCTTATTAGTATTGAATTATACGAACAACAGCAAGGATATGTCGTATATTTATTATCCGTATTAGTAATGAATTATGACCAGTATCTTTCATCTCTACTACAGAAATCCTTAAAATTAAATTGTGTGGAAAACCAAAATTGTAAATTATCAAATATCGGACAGAAATACAAGGACGTTTTAGCTGAGACAGGGTTTTTAACCTTGTCTCAGCTAAAATGATTAAAAATGAATTAAGTACACCCCTCTGTAGGACTAATTGAAATTATTACGTCATAAGTCCCCTCAATAGACCTGAACTAAGTTTACAATTTTTCCAACATATTTATTTGAAATCAAGAAATAAATACTTGAAGTCAAGAGCTGTAAATATATCCAAGAATTAGGTTTGAGAAATAAAATGTCTCGATTTTTCTTTCTTACTGAAGATACTCATTCAGCGGGCTATCCCCCACCCCATATCAAATAAATTTTCCCACAGAAGTTAAATGTGTAATGCGGAGCGTGCATTTTTTTAAGGGGTTTATTAAAATAAAATTTTTATGGATTTTTTATGTCCAATTTTTCATTTTTCCAACCCAAATCATCAAAAATGCCCCCCGCCCCCCACAGGTGAAATTCTGAAAAATAAACACCCCTGTAGGCTGTACTCAGTACTTACCAATTGGAGTACGCTTAGCGGCAACAATAACTACGTCGGACATCTTGGAAATCTGAAATATTAAATATTCACAAATGTAGAATGTAGATAATACAAAGAAAGTAAATTTAGTAAATTTTGTTGAGGTATAATATATTAGATAAGAAGAAAATATGTAGATTAGTTTTAGTATTGTCGACTAGATAAAGTTTAATGCAAAATCAAATTAAGTTTTGTAAATCCAAACATAAAATTGATATCAAAAAATTTAATCAAATCAGACTCTTAGGGAATCCCTACTAAGCGGATTATTATTGAGTATTTTTTTCGAGAATACTCTCCTATAAAAATATTCTTAAAAGAAACAAAAATTTTGTCTTTGTACACTGTTAAGACCTTTAATTCATTCAATTAATAAAAATAAAACATTTTGAGTTGTTGGAAAAATAATGATTTATACAAAAATCGTGAATTGAATATATATTTGAAACTTTAGAGTTTAAATGCATAAATATTTTGCAATTTACTCGTTAATCTGAATAAATCTTTAATTATTAAGAACTTTGAAATTTCTGTATTTCTTTTCAAGTTTACAAGAAATATGGTATATCCCTTGAAAGCTGTCTCTGATCAAATGTGAATTAGATTTTCATGTTTTTGTGTTTCTTATCTGTTTGTTTTCTTCTGTGGTTTCTCTGCGAAAGTAACTTGGGCATTTCTTGCTTAAAAGAAGCAATGAAAAAACTTTAAGGAATAAAAACTGTTCGATTGATCAAAATAAATCGGACAATACCATCTTTGTATGGAGGGTCACTTGAAATTACGCTAACAGTCCCTTTAAAGGATTAAAATTACTGTTCACAAGTAAATCATGAAGTTTCCTTAAAAGATCAAGAAAGAGGCGGTAACTCCGCAAACAGTTTAATCGCGTAGCATTCAGAACTTTTATTGATACGTTTCCTCCATAAATAGAATGAACAATACACATTGAAAAGAGATTAAAGATATTTGATAATCATCTGATGAAGATATTTACGACACATATCCATTATTCTTAGCCCAGAGCTTCACCATACCATTCAACCGCTTCAGAAAGGACTCCCTTAAAATAAGAAAAAATTAAATCTTAAACCAAAAAAATCTGAAACCGTCAATATAGAATAAATAAAAATCTGAAATCGTCAACATAGAATAAATAAAAATCTGAAACCGTCAACATAGAATAAATAAAATCTGAAACCGTCAACATAGAATAAATAAAAATCTGAAACCGTCAACATAGAATAAATTAAATCTGAAACCGTCAACAAAGAATAAATAAAAATCTGAAACCGTCAACAAAGAATAAATAAAAATCTGAAACCGTCAACAAAGAATAAATAAAAATCTGAAAATGTCAACATAGAATAAATAAAATCTGAAACCGTCAACAAAGAATAAATAAAAATCTGAAACCGTCAACATAGAATAAATAAAAATCTGAAACTCGTCACCATAGAATAAATAAAAATCTGAAACCGTCAAAATAGAATAAATAAAAATCTGAAAGCGTCAACATAGAATAAATCAAAATCTGAAACCCTAAACATGGAATAAATCAAAATCTGAAACCGTCAACAATCAACATAGGTGGATATGACACATCTTTATTAGACAGTTTTAATTCTAAAAATAATCCCCCCTCACAACTTGAAAATTTCCAATCGGGAGGGGGGGGGAAGGTTAAAGGGTTAGAAGAATGCAGTAAACTATCTCATGTTTACATTCTAAAGAAACTTTTTAAAGAAAATATTGCCCGATTCACAATGGTACTCCTCATCTGAAGTTATCCTTATATTTTTGTTATTGTCTTACAAATATGAATTAGCTCAATTTACTTCCTTGTCTCTGCTGCATAAATCAAACATGAAGTTTATATTGAACTGAAATAAACCTTCATCATCTTTGCCCATTGTGAATCAGACCTGCAACTATTTCAATGGAGAGTCACTTGAAAATACGTTTTCATTCATTTTCTGTCACGTCTGCCAATATTTTGTTGATCTGTTAACTATAATTCTGAAATAGTCCCTTTAACAGAGAATCCCAAATTAGAAATTATCAATAGCGTGCCCCATTGTTCAGTCCGACTTTACACAAATAACTCTCAGGCTAATATTGTTCTCTATGATGTCAGCTATTACAAGAATGTTATTCATTTTATATACTATTTTCTTCGTAATTGTCTGAAGAGATCAAATCCGTTGAAAATTTAAAAAATTGACTGAATTAGACCAAAAAAACGTCAAAAATACTAGTTTTAAAGAAAAGTACAATTTGAGGTTTTATATCCTAACGCAGACAATTTATAGAAATTTTAAAAACTTCAATGGATTTAATCTTTTTAGACAATTAAGAAGAAATTATATATGACATGATAAATTCAAGAAATATTTTTTTTTGAGCTATGTAGACTTTTATGCGATCTGCACAGGCCTTGGAGGACCACTTATCATAGGTTGGAAAAAAAATATATATCCTGTGAAAACTGACACCATAGAGAACAATATTAGCCTGAGAGTTATTTGTGAGACATAATTTCTATATTTTGTTGCAAAATGGGGCAGCCTTATTATTAGCCTTCAGAAAAACAAGGCTATCTTCATAATCTTAGCTCAAACAAAGGTGCAATTGTTAATCGGACCCAGAACTCAATTGACAAAGTTAACATTCCCTTTAAATACCTGTCAGTGTAATTCCACATTCGGAACAACGGCTCCGTAGTCAGAGGTTTGGATTTTCCTGTAAACAATAATAAAATCAGATTGTTGCCAATTACTCTTTCACAACGTTGCACGTTGTAGCTTTGAAATCCCCGTGACTAGGGCTACTGTATTTTTTTTAAAGTCGCACCAAATCTCCTGGTAACACTCAAATTAGGCCCAGTTAGTTGTTTATTTAACATTTGTAGCTCTCTTTATTTTCATAATTTCTGATTTTCGACCTCTCCAACTTAATGAATCGAAGAAGGGTCGCTGAACTACCTACCTCCACGGTTTAACTTCTTCTCAAAAGCTCCTTGGCTCAAATCCTGAATCTTGAAATTTGAATTACTGATTCAGAGGCCGAATTGAAAGAATTTGAGCCGCGGCTTAAATTTTAGACGAGGCTAAAATATGGTTGGTTCCCCTTAAAATTGTATTCAATGTTTCAAGATTTAAGCCGGCGCTCAATTGAAACCGGTTTTTGGCGGATTGAGACGCGGCTCAAATTCATTGAATTCGGACTCAGGATTTTAAAGCTAGTTGAACCGGTAGATATTTCAGCGACTTCTCCAATATATTGAATTCAATTCCAGAATGTATAGAATTAAGTAATGAAGGAAAGAACTGCTGAACTACCTAGCCCCGGTTCAACTATCTCTCAAGAGCTTACATTTTGAATCAACTAAATTAAAGTTTTAGATTTTAAAATAATAATATGTGGTTAAACCTTAGTTCAACGACTTCCCGCAATTCATTAAATCCGTCTCTGGATGTAACAAATTGAGAATTGGACACTGAATGTTCCTAAATATCGATAAAAAAATACTTTAATCAAATTACGTCGGCAGGCTCTTAAATTGGTAAATTTAGATCGCGAATCTACTTTAATTTAGTTATTTCAACTTACCTATAAAGGACTCGAACTGCAAGGGAAGAAGGGGTCGAACCTTCAGGTTTTTACATCCATTGCTCACATACTGGGTTCTAAAATAATACCACCTTTTATTTGTCCATTAAATGGGCGCGCCTTTAAAAATAAGTCAAGTCCGAAACTCAATGTGGAAAAAATAGATCCTTGTGAAGAATGTAGGTAGTTATAAATTTTTTCACAGATGTTTATATCGTCTTTTCTCGTAAATAATTTTAGCCCCCACCCCCCCTTTAAATAAATAAATATGATATTCTGGGAGTTTGAGAAGAAAACAAATTGATTGCCTTGATTATTAACTAAGCTTTAAAATGATTCTCATTTAACGAAGAAAGATGACTGAGAGCTTCTGAAATGTCTCCGCGTAATTTTGGAACTGAGCTGGGAACTTTTAATTCAACATTTTGATATAAGTTTAACTAAATCACTTTTTGACGAATTTATAATATATCAATCACGTGTAAACTCTTTTTAGAGTAGTTAAGTATAGAAATCGGCGAAACTCAATTCGTCCATTTAAAGTTTCCGTTTCGTATTTCTATGTATTTGGTTGGGATTAGATTAAAATCTAAAGATCAAGGTAGAACTCCAACTAAACCAAAATAAAAGACATACAGTATTAATAGAAAACACCCACACCGCGCCGGCTGGTGGAGGTGGGGGATATGGAGGTGTACTCCCGGGGACTCTTCAGTTTATATATAAATACTAAGCCAAGTAAGGTATATACATTTCTTGATGGATTGAAGCAGGGAGGAGGGTTACCCCCCCTGTTTATATACCTGAGTAAGGAGTAGATGTACTTGTTGATGAGGGGGGAGGTTGGGGCGGGTGGCCCCCCTGTATCCCCAGCCTGATGAAGATCCTTGAAGAGCTCAGGAGAGAGAATTGGCATTATAAAATCCATCTCATCCAACCACTAGGAATAAGAGGGTTAAACACTATAGAGTTATCAGTTGANACATCCTAAACCACAATCAGTTGAGTTGTCTAGTGTATAGTGTATCAGGATAATGTTAAACAATAAATGTAGAGATAAGATACAAAGTCTAGGCAACATGTACAATTTAAAAATTTCAAATATTATTTTACTCTGAGTAAAAAGTACCTTAAGTATGCAGGCTTCTGGGTTCTGTAGAATCGCATTCCATAAATCCATTTCATTCAGACGAAATATATCAACCTAAATTCAAAAAATTATTCAATCGTAATTTCTGAATATCCAGGGGGGGGGGTGTATGTAACCGACAGCCCACAAAAAAACTTCCCCTGTAAAACTCTTAGTGAGGATAGGGGCAGTGTATACCTGGATACTGGAAACCAACCCCAAGGGGAGTGTATGAAAAATGCACATTGTACATTTATATCCACTTCAGAGTGGTGAGTACAACANTAATGATTCATACTTTATAATTTAAATCCCAACAAATCAATTGACGAGTTTATGGGCTAAATAATAAAACAACTATGCAAAATTTTTTCATTGCTTATGAAGAAACAAAAGACGACATTATCTCACATTTTTTAACGTTTTATATTTGACTACATATGAAAATTTTCTTTTACGAATATTGCCTAATTTTCTAGCAAAATAGATGCGTATCTTATTCACTAATTCAGGTTTATTTTAACAAAAGATCCTTTATCCAACAAAAGATAACTTTAAAATACAATTTAACATTATTAATTTGTAATTACTTTTAGCACAAACCATTCACTATTGTGTTAAATAAATGAGGTTTTAATGTTGATTGTTGAACGCTCAATTAAGCAATTAAAATAACCAATGACGTCAAATACAGCTGTACAAAGATTTGTTATATTTTATATATTAATGTATCACCTGAAGTTAGTCACAGAGTTTGAGGTAATATCCATGGGTGGCATAGCCGGAAGATATCCACCATATTCACGGGGTGATGTGTATCCTAAAATATAGCATGTAGATATCCACCATATTCACGGGGTGATGTATATCCTAAAATGTAGGATATCTATGTACTGTGTATCCTAAAATGTAGTATATCTATGTAATGTGTATCCTAAAATTTAGGATATTTATGGAATTTGTATCCTAAAAGGTAGGGGTATATATGGAATGTGTATCCTTAAAGGTAGGATATCTACGGAATGTGTATCCTAAAAGGTAGGATATCTATGGAATGTGTATCCTAAAATGTAGGATATCTATGGAATGTGTATTCTAAAAGGTAGGATATTTAAGGAATGTGTATCTTAAAAGGTAGGTTATCTATAGAATGTGTATCCTAAAAGGTAGGATATTTATGGAATGTGTATCCTAAAATGTAGGATATCTATGGAATGTGTATTCTAAAATGTAGGATATCTATGGAATGTGTATTCTAAAAGGTAGGATATTTATGGAATGTGTATCCTAAAAGGTAGTCTATCTATGGAATGTGTATCCTAAAAGGTAGGATATTTATGGAATGAGTATCCTAAAAGCTAGGATATTTATGGAATGTATATCCTAAAATGTAGGCTATCTATGGAATGTGTATTCTAAAATGTAGGATATCTATGGAATGTGTATTCTAAAAGGTAGGATATTTATGGAATGTGTATCATAAAAGGTAGGCTATCTATAGAATGTGTATCCTAAAAGGTAGGCTATCTATAGAATGTGTATCCTAAAAGGTAGGATATTTATGGAATGTGTATCCTAAAATGTAGGATATCTATGGAATGTGCATTCTAAAATGTAGGATATCTATGGAATGTGTATTCTAAAAGGTAGGATATTTAAGGAATGTGTATCCTAAAAGGTAGGCTATCTATGGAATGTGTATCCTAAAAGCAAGGATATTTATGGAATGTGTATCCTAAAATGTAGGATATTTATGGAATGTGTATCCTAAAAGGTAGGATATTTATGGAATGTGTATCCTAAAAGGTAGGATATTTATGGAATGTGTATCCTAAAATGTAGGATATTTATGGAATGTGTATCCTAAAATGTAGGATATTTATGGAATGAGTATCCTAAAAGGTAGGATATTTATGGAATGTGTATCCTAAAAGGTAGGATATTTATGGAATGTGTATCCTAAAATGTAGGATATTTATGGAATGTGTATCCTAAAATGTAGGATATTTATGGAATGTGTATCCTAAAATGTATATGGAATGTGTATCCTAAAAGGTAGGATATTTATGGAATGTGTATCCTAAAATGTAGGCTATCTATGGATTGTGTATTACCTCCCTCCACTCATTATAAACTTTTATTCCCATTGTATTTGACATTTTTTAAACGACTTGGGAAAATAAACTATTAAAGAAAATGCTTCCTTCTAACTTGATAAAAAAGTATAAACCTGAATCCTGAGAAGGAAACGAGGAGGTTCCATTAAACTGCACAGGGTTCATTATCAACTCGGTCTGAGGCTGAAAATAAAACAACTTGAATAAAGATTTGATTAAGAATTATGTTCAATCAAAGAAAGGATTGATATGTCATTTTCACAATGTTAAAGAAAATTATATGTCTAAGATATTTTTTTTTTCGGAGAAAATTCTTTTGTTTATAAAAGCAACGCTAGTTTTCCAGAGGACGGTATCTGGGTTTACAAAAATAATCTGGTTTTACAAAAACAATGATTTTACATGATAAAAACAAATCTACTTTTCCGTAAGAGTGAAGCTAGGTTTCCGAAAAGAAAGCAGTCTCGAAGAAAAAGGCTGATTTTGTCCAAAAAAAAACAGTCTCCGAAGAAAAAGGCTGATTTTGACAAAAAAAAACAGTCTCCGAAAAAAAAGGCTGATTTTGACAAAAAAGTTTCTTATCCGAAAAAAAACAAAGAAATGTTTTTCCAAAGAAAAAAATCAAATCAGATATTTATTACATAAAGACTTAATTATTATTGAAAATATAATTATACGATAAATTATTTTAAGGAATAGGAATCTGGTGGACCAGGTTTTCATCAATTTCCGTGTAACAACTTAAGTGTCAGGANAATAATAAACCTGTATCTTTGATCTATCTGTCCTGAAGTAGTTCTTGAATCCCTGGCTGTAATAATAATAAACCTGTATCTTTGATCTATCTGTCCTGAAGTAGTTCTTGAATCCCTGGCTGTAATAATAATAAACCTGTATCTTTGATCTATCTGTCCTGAAGTAGTTCTTGAATCCCTGGCTGTAATAATAATAAACCTGTATCTTTGATCTATCTGTCCTGAAGTAGTTCTTGAATCCCTGGCTGTAATCCTGGAATTTACTCAATGGATCCTCGTATCCAGTCTAGACAATAATATATACAAATAATATAAAAGCGATTCATTGTAGCTTCTGACAATTCCATTTATGTTTTGCGAACAATCCCTAAAAAAGAAACAAAGATTAAAACTGCACAAGTCAACTAAAGGAGAATTGTAAGAAAGAAAAGGTATTTGAATAGAAGAGTGGGGTGGGATGGCTAGTGTGTGACACCAGTTCTCGTTAGATCACTGAAATTAAGCACACTTGTCCACAGCCAGAAACTGGATTGGTGTCAAGACTGGTGTTCACGGGTTCGATTCCCGTACTCCACACAAACCTGTGGTTTCAAAAGCATCTGAAGCCGACATCTGGTTAAGCAGTTATGACTACCTGACGGATGTAGGAGGACAGAGGGGCGGCTGTCCAAAAATCTCGCAGCAAAAGGTGCGTGGTTTCTACTCAACAAGAAAGAAGCTTTAAGTGGATTGATCCAAGTGAATGATGAAAAAGAGAGGAAAAGTGGACAAGCAGGGAGAGTTGCCAAATTTAGGTACCTGGGGGTATCCAATCCGGGCTTACTAATTATAGGGAGCAATGAGTGTGATGTTTCCTATCTGTATGGCACCCGATTACAACCCATGGTAAATCAATATAAGCCCATACAACACCAAACTTTTGCAATAGAAAAAATTCCAAGATTTGATCGTAACAACCCGATCATGTCCTGGGGACAAAAAAAATCTCTTTTTTAAAGAAATAGGAGAAAGGGAATACAGGGAATTTATATTTTTCAGAAAACTGTAGAATAGGAAGACGACATTAATGCTATTAAGTGTATTTAATTTTGTTAAAAAGTAGGTAGTTTTACTAGTAGCTCTTATTAAATCACTGAAGTTAAATGGAGTTGTTTACATCGTATAACTTATGTGGCTCGTGGACTATAGTCGCAACTTGAGTCTAAAAGTCGTCTTCCTAGTTCAGATTTCCACGAGGAATATCAACGCGCTAACCTTACTGAAGGTATCGAATAGAGTTCTCATGATGGAGTAGAGATGATTATCATTAGTTACTGTTGGGTTGTAATTGTTCTTATGATACACCGTATACACATCAAGGAACACATCAGCCTAAAGATTTAAAATAACAGATTTAAACGAAAAAACTATAAATTATCAGATTTTAAAAATCCAAAATTATAATTAAAATGATAAAAAATCGTGCGCTTAAAAAATATATGGCTTTAACGGACTGTAAGCGTAATTTCTGTGCGGTATCCTTAAACATAAATGCTTATAATTTTGAAAAATTGTATTCTTGATCTACAAAAGAAACTTGCGGATTTCTATTACAGTAAGACATATCAGAATTATCAGATTAAACACTTTTAAACCTAGAATAATGTCCTTTCACAATATTGCATGGAGGCTAACTTGAAATTACGCTTACAGTCCATTTAAGTCTTCTTAAGAAGTACTCCTCCATAATTGGGATTTCTCTTTAAAAGTTACGTGGCGAATTTCTAATACAGAAACAATAGAAGAACATTAAAAAAAAACAGTGATAACCAGAAAACTTTGGAATGGGAAGACGACTTTTAAGGTCAATACACAATTTTAATATCCCAAATAGAGACATCAAATGTGCAGTGGAAACAAACCCATTTTACTTAATAAGTGAATTAATAAGTTACAAGTAAAACGATTTGCTTTGACACAACAGTAAATAAACTAAAGTATTGATTTAATTAATGTCGTCTTTCCTTTCAGCATTTTTCTGGTTATTATAGTATATCCTCCGCATTGGTTCAACAGGGCACTGACACATGCCGCAATAGAGGGGTCACTTGAACTTTATTTTAACTTATGTCTTACTTTGTCAGATATCTCTTGTATTATCCTGTACTGCTTCTGCTTTCTAAACAAAAAATATTTATTTTTTACGCTGTCATCGTTTGAGACCGTTTTTTTTAAAATAATTTAATGAAAATTAAAAGATTTCAAAACTTTATTATTGTCTTAAAAAATGACTAAAGATTAAAGAACCTTAACGATCGTAACAACATGTTTGTTTTTGCATCGTTTTTGGTTTGTTGAGTGCACATATCTTCGGGCTCAAAATTTGTTGAAGTGTAAGAAAAGCAAATGTCTAAATAAACAATTTTGAAAACATTGGCCCTTTTTTACTCTTTGCTAAATTTTGACCTTAAAAGAAAATAAAGGCTATATGCACATTATTCCAGGCGAATACAGGCGGATGAAAAATGAACATGAAAAGGCAAGTTTCTTCGTCCTTATACATACTTAAAGCCAAAATACACAATAATTTCCCCTAAAAAAACATATCTATTTTCCCAATTGAGGAAATAATCTTTCAAGAAATAATATATTTATGCAGCTAAATCCAGCGAAAACTTAGTTACACATTTTCATTTCAACACAACGAATATTTCACGGAATAATTTAAATTGGAAAAAATATTTGAAAAAAATGAACCAAATTCTAAAAAAAATTCCTTTAATTTCCACTACAATTATTTATTATCTTTTTAAATTCAACGAAAACCTTAATTCAGCGCGCTCCGCGCTTACAAATTTAAAATAGCGAGGGTGTATATTTCTTTAAAAATCATTCCCCTGCCCTCTATGAAAATAATCTTTTTATATTCGCTGAATTGGGCAAAATAAATGCATATTTTTGGATAAAAAAATATCAAAAAAGATCAAAAAAGTGTCTTTTGAAGTCTAAATTTTTATCAAAAATTGTGTCTTAGAAATACCTACCCCGCGAACAATTAAAATGGATAGTTTACCTGAGAGCTGAGACAACTTCACCAAGAGTTCCTCCGTCGTACATATATATCTCTAGGATAGCGCGTGTAAAGCTCTGCTCAGGCCGGATACAAACCTTAACAGATTCTTCAATGCAATGCTTAGGATCCTGATCCGTTGTTCATTTTAACTTCCTGAATCCGGATCCGGGGAAGATTAATACAAACATACTTACCTCATTAAATGTTAGAATAAAAATAAGCGAAAACATGGAAAATTCTTCTATTGTTTCAGTAAAATAATCAATCCAGATCAATCAATCAATCCAGATCCAGATACATTTTGTTTTTCAGAGCGGATCCTTATTGGCGAAGGATGTTTGGTTTTTCTCTATGCACAGAGAGAAAGGGTTTAACTCAGTTCGTCCAATGTTAATTCAAAAGTTTGCAGCTCATTTCAGATAAACCGTTTTGACGCAGGAGGACGTTTTTTGACGATTGTTAAACAGCAGCTGATATTAAAAATTGAAAATTGTTAATAAAAACTGCGATTATCATGAAAAAAATTTAGCTTTATAATTTTCGTGTATTTTTCCTAGAACTTTTTTATTTTCAATAACTCACCTTAACCCACTCAGTTTTCATTTCGTCAATATTCAACTCTCTAATCGGAAGTTATGAAATTATTTTCAAAATTTTGTTTGGGCGGATCTAGTTGATTTTCAGCTTTCCTAGCGATATCGTACCACTGAGGAAACAATCCTAAATCAACATAACGTTGGTTCACATCTACCCACATACACAGGGCACTGAACAGCTCACCTCCTTCCTAAATTAATTCAAATTTTCAATAATAGATCCTCAGTTCTTTGTTAATTGAAATTAAGTGACCCATAATTAAGTTTTTGTCTCATCAAGGATTAATGATATTTCCTTGTTCTTCTAGTTAAAAATGGATTACTTTTAATCGTCTCTAACTAAAGTTGCGGCAAAATTCAACACGTTTTACAATAGAAAAACTAAGATATTTTCCTCATTAAACTTAAAATACTGGACATTTTAAAAAAAGTGGGTCACTTAAGATTAAGTTTTTGGTCACTTGGAAAAAAAAACAAAATAAAAATATACTGTCCCAGTCGTTCGATCAAACCTTGCAACATCCCAGATGAGACAGAGGGATAGATCTCGTCTTTTGGGAGAGTTCATCATACTTGACCAGCCACAGATCATTCTCCTCAATAACATCAGTTACATCAACCTAGATAACATCAGTTACATCAACCTAGATAACATCAGTTACATCAACCTAGATAACATCAGTTACATTAACCTAGATAACATCAGTTACATCAACCTAGATAACATCAGTTACATCAACCTAGATAGATAACATCAGTTACATCAACCTAGATAACATCAGTTACATTAACCTAGATAACATCAGTTACATCAACCTAGATAACATCAGTTACATCAACCTAGATAACTACAGTGAATCCCAGATACATGAATACATAGACGACGTTTTTTGGTAATTCTAAAAAAAACTCTTTTTATTTTTAATTCAAGGTAAATTAATAGCCCTGAAATATGATTGCAATTGATATATCAATATTAAACTCATTTTTCCGCAGCATTTGATCTTAATTATGTAATACGACATTATAAAAAAAACTCTTGCTATGTATTCATATATCTGGAATTCACTGAATATATCCTGACAAGCTAACCTATATATCCTGACAAGCTGACCTGCATATCCTGACAAGCTGACCTATATATCCTGACAAGCTGACTTATATATCCTGACAAGACAAGCTGATCTATATAACCTGATAAGCTGACTTGTATATCCTGACAAGCTGACCTATATATCCTGACAAGCTGACCTATATATCCTGACAAGACAAGCTGATCTATATATCCTAATAAGCTGACCTGTATATCCTGACAAGCGGACCTAAGCTGACCTATATATAATAACAAGCTGACCTGAATATCCTGACAAGCTGATTCGTATCTCTGTTCCTCGATCTCCTCCGAAAGCTTGATGAGGGTGTAGATGTTTTCCAACTGTAAGGGATTGACAGGGGGAACCCTGGACCTAGAGATAGGCATTTTATCCCTAGCAGCCAAACATCTGAAAAAAAAAACTAAGTATCGAAAAAAGGTACTTCTTCCAAGTGACCACTGTGCACCAATTACACCCAAAAAAATGCCAAATAAGAACGATCAAACAGACAAAAATTGCCGTAAATAGTATCTAAGACCATAAAATCTGCCAAAAAAGTATCTTTATCCATTAAATCTGCCACAAAAAGTATCTTTGCTGAAAAAAGTGGTCATGTACAAAATTGATAGGAGGGGTAATTTTTGTGATAACAAACTTTATCAAAAATAAGTTTCGCGACGGCTAAAACCTCAGTTTTCAGGTCATGATTAAAACCTACGATATTTTTCTGTGCGTGAATACTGCAGACTGCTCCTGATATTTCTGATTTCGCTCTTCGTTTTGAGAATTTGAGATACTTAGAGATTGCTCAAAAACGAATTCAGACTACGAACTGCAACTGGCAACGGAATGGGCTCAATTCCGTCCTCCTCTTGCAAACGCTTTTTAGACACTGACAAAATGAAGTTTGTTTCTTTTTCCACTGAATTGATTGCGAAGTCAAGTTTAGCTAAATAATACACGTATAGTCCTCGGAAATCACAGGTATTTTCTGCTTGTTTTCCTTATTTTCTCTCTCTCTCTTCAAGTGTACACTCTCTCCTTGGGCCCTGAACACGAACAAATTTTTATAATTTTCTTAAGAAAGAATTCAGAAGAAAAGCAAAATTTCTTGATAAATTTACAAAAAAAAATATTTAATTAGATACGTTTCTGAAAAAGGATATTCCCGGGTTTAAAGGAAAAGACGCATCTAAGTAAAATATTCTTCACTATATTGTAGCACATCTAAACTATCTCCGATAAAAAAATTATGAATTTTCAAAATGTACGGAAGAAATGATTTTTTATTTTCGTAATCATTAGTTCATTCCTTGTTTAATAAAATGTCGTCTTTCAAATAATAGATCAGTGACGTAAAATCAAAGAGAATAGAATATATATTAGAGTGGCATTTATGTAGACAAATTAGTGTAAAACGGCCATTTTGTTGTACTGTTTCCATACTGCACTGCAGGTGTGCTTATCATATTTGTGCTATTTAACCTTTTGGGTCCTGGAACATCATTTTATAGAAAATCTCAAATTAATATTACAAGAAAACCAAATTATGAAATTATAGGCTGGTTTCATAATTGACCAATGATCATTTCACATAGACTCTATGCCTTTCACTTTACAAACGATGATTTTCCATTATGACTATAAATCAAATGATGTTTTTTATTCACCTAATTCATTTCATGAAGTTTATATCAGCTTCCTAGAAACCAGCGACGTCGCACGACCAGTCCCATTAGGTTAAGATAGGTCAGGTTAGGTCGGGTTATGTCAGATTACCAAACTGGTCGGAACATGACCAGTCTCCTTAGGTCGTGTTTGGTCAGGTTAGGTCGGGTTAGGTCTAATAACCTAACTGGTCTCATACTGGTCTTAACCTGACCAATCCACTTAGGTCGGATTTGGTAGAGATTGGTTGAGTTGCCCTAGAAACCATTTTACGTAACTAACGTTAAATCATAACGTAATGTAACGTTACGTAACGTACCAACAATTGTAACTTTACAGAACCTTAAATAACGTAAATGTTATCTATATAACATAAGCTTACGTACCTTTACAAAGGTTGGTAACATTAGTTTTAGGTTTATATTGAACTTTAGATTTACGTAATATATCAGCATAAATTTACGTTACATAATGTAAGATATAACGTCAACTTAAGGTTATCTTTGAACGTCAGATAACAATATTTGACGTAATTGGGGTTCGTAAATAAACGTTAATTTACAAAGGGTTCATTGACGTAAAAGTTTGGTTCATGTACACAACTATATGTGCATTGTTACATTAAATAACTTTACTTTACGTAACTTCTGTGGAAACTATGCCCATATTTGGGGTTTCTGAATGTAAAAGTTTGGTTCATGAATGTCAGATAATGTTAAACTTAACGTTATATAACATACCCTTTTTTTACGTTACATAATGTAAAAGTGGGTACGTTCTTACGTTCCTGGAACGTTAAATAGTGACTTTAATTAACATTAATGAGTCCTAAAAGGAATGTTATCTAACGGTCTGAGAACGTTATTTGTCTTGTTGGGTATGTCAGGAGACCTAACTGGTCAGAACATGACCAGTCCTTCTAGGTCATGTTTGGTCAGGTTAGGTTGGATTAGGTCGAGTTACCTAACTGGTCTCATACTGGTCTTAACCTGACCAATCTACCTAGGTCGGATTTGGTCAAGATTGGTTGAGTTATGTCAGGAGACCTAACTGGTCGGAACATGACTAGTCACCCTAGGTCATGTTTGGTCAGGTTAGGTCCGGTTAGGCTGAGTTACCTAACTGGTCTCATACTGGTCTTAACCTGATCAATCTACTTAGGTCGGATTTAGTTGTGATTGGTTGAGTTATGTCAGGAGACCTAACTGGTTGGAACATGACCAGTCCCCCTAGTTTGTGTGAAGTCAGGTTAGGTCATGGTAGGTTGAGTTACCTAACTGGTCTCATACTAGTCTTAACTTAACCAATCCACTTAGGTCGGATTTGGTCGAGATTGGTTGAGTTAAGTCAAGAGACCTAACTGGATTGAGTTGGATTATGTCGGACTTGGTTGCTTTACCTAGCTGGTCCTAACTGTTCATAACTTGACCTTTAAGTCAGATTGGGTTTTGCTTGGTTGGATTACCAAACTGGTCATAACTGGTCACAACCTAACCAGTGCCCTTAAGTCAGATTTAGGTTGTATGAGGTCAGATTAGGACCTTCTGAGTTTCGCCACTAGATGTCTCTACCTGAATTTTAAATAAAAGCCACTTTTTTGCCTTGGATGACTAGAATTTTCAAATATTTTAATTTTTTTCAAAAGAATTGATCTGTAAGATACAATACCCAAATATTTGAAAAAATAACATTTTTAAAAACTTTGATTTTTACGGAATTATTGATGTTTTCAGAAAAATAAATGTCTGTAAATTGTGAATTTTGTGACAAATAGAAGTTTTTTTCTACAGCATTTGTAGCAGGTATAGATTAGAGTGTTAGTATGAATTGATGAATGAATTGTATTTGGATGATATATTGAATGTATGAACCTAAAGGGGGGCGGGTTAGGATGGTCAGGAGGGTGGTCATGGTGTGATACAAGGGGAGGGGTTATGGGTAGCAACAGCAGAAGGACAGTTACAGTGTAAATGTAATACCAGGGGGGTGGGTTAAAGTGTAGCAGTGGTTAATAAATAGGATGAATAAATGACTAGTTTTGTCATTTGGACGTCAAAACTTTGGTCATTTGGACGTCAAAAGTTTGGTCATAATTTGACGTCAAAAGTTTGGTCATTTGGACGTCCAAAGTGACATCATTTTAACTTCAAAAATTAGGTTGTGAGGACGTAAGAATCCTTGTGTTAAATGTCCTCAACATGTCCTCAACACCTAAAATATGACGTTGCTGGACGTCCCATTGGTAATTATTGACATCCTCATGACGTCCTTAGGACAACTTCTGGTTTCTAGGGAGTTTTAAAAGATTAGAAATTGAAATGGATAGTCTAGGGAACATACTGTATTTCTGTATTAATGTACTCTACTGCATATAATTTGTGAACATTTACATGATTTGTACACTTTGAACTCCCTTTCAGGGATTGTTTAAATTCCCCTCTAATATATTTTATTCTCTTTGCGTAAAATAGTTCAAAATGGAGTTGGGACAGGGAGGGTTAAAAACGGGTATCAAAGGCCTATTTAGTTATGTTTGTGGGTGCGCTTAAGAATAGAGGGGGGGCAGTAAGCAAGGATTCAAAATTAAAAGGAAACTACGCTTAAAAAGTAACACATGACAATTGGCAAAGACTAAGGATTTGTCTAAATTCATGGGACATTGACGGGTCACTCGTGTGAAATACACCAAATAATCGTGTGTTCTTCAAGAGTTTTCGTTTGTTGGGGTGCCGGCAGAGAAAGCAGATTGTCGGCCATCTTATCCTGGGGGTCCCCAAGGACTAGTCAGTTAGCTACAAGCATCTGATCAGAAGAGTAGTATGGAAATATATTCCCGCCAAGCAAATGTTGTATTTTGTGTGTATTTAGATCAACTTTAGGTGATCCAACACTAATTGTTTGTATCGTTATAATGTAAATATATCATGTGTGTGCAACCATGCTTCGTTATTTTACTCAATCTTGGCTTTTTACTAATGAATTCTTTTCAAGCCAATAGTACAAGAAAGAATTTGAGAAACTATCATTAATAATTATTAATATTCATTTGGAAAAATTCCTTATTGTAAAGGTGACATAAAAAGATTTTTTATTTTTGTTTTCTTCTTTGTTTATTCGAGTTGCTTTGTTTGTATTATTTTTTTTATATATTCACTGTATAAAAAAGATTTTTTTATATAAATTTTTTGCTTATATTTGTTATATTATAGGACGTACTCCAAAGTTTTTGGGGAAATATATTGAGAAGAAATTATATAATTCTAGTGCTAGAGAGTAGACTTGGAATTTGTTTAAAAACAATCTAAAAATTATCATTAAATGGACAAATTGTGACATTATCAAGTGATAAGAAAAGAACAAAAATCTGAATATCTATGTAATTTTAATATATTAGAGCCTGCCTCTGGCTCTAGGGGGGACCTAGGGGGTGCATGTCTAGTGGTTGGACAGGGGTACTGCCCCCCCACTACACCCCTGGATCTCATTCTTGTTGTTTCTAGTAGACTTGACATTCTGCAACATAAATCAAAGGGTATAAAAACCCTTCTCGTTTTAATTATTTATATCCAACTGGCCATTCGTTTCAGAAAACAAAAAGGAAACAATTTGAATATTTTATTTATTTTGGTTTTTTAAGAACTGATAACAAAACCTACAAGATTAAAAAGCTATATGCTGATTAAAAACTTTTTCATATTATAGTAATTATTACTATTACTATTATAGTAATAGTACATATAGTATGGGTGTGACAAATAAAAATGATCTGAAAGTGACATGTGTTCAATAATTATGTTGATATAACGGGTGTTCAATGTTCTAATATGTACAAGACTAAATTATATTAAATTCATAATAAAAATAAATATAAACTTTAAGTAAATAAGAAATTTGTTGTAATTATAACATTTAAAACAGTAATATTTATATTTATATTTATATTTATTTTGGATTTATAAGGAATGTTCATCTATTTCTGCAAAACTTATATAAAACCTAAACTTTTGAGTATGGGGTTCCCGATCGGAACTCCGTTCCGCGGAATTGCGCGGTATTGCGCGCAACTGCGCACATTCAGCCTGCTTATAAAAAGTCTCAGTCATTTTTAAGACATAGGTTCGACTTTGAAGTGTCGCCACGCCTTGGGCTTTA